ATAAAAGAGGGTGACAACGTGACGGGAGAATAATATAATGTGTGTGTAGTTAGTGAGTAATTGATCTGCAGTGAGAAAGTATTGTTGAAGTTACGTTCGTTATAGCGTTTGTTTTAGCGTGATTGTTGAAATCAAGTGATCGTGAAGTTATATTCAGGAAGAATAAGCCAGTTTTATTAAGTAAGGACTTGTGTTGCTAAAGTTTCGTCTGAACGAAGTTACGGAAAGTTAATTAACAAACGGAGACGTAACAATATATATATATATATATGCGAAGAGTTTTTCTATTTCATAAAATTAATCTGGTTTCTTATGTTACAAAGTGTGTTTTAGCACAAAGCTACACAATGGGCTATTTGTTAGCAAATAAATGAAATCTATTCCACAAAAAATAACAACAACAAAATGATTTAATATATTTACAAAGACCAAACAGTGAATTTAACTTGGTGGTCTAATCAGTTGTTTTTTGTTTTGTTTTTTAGGGCAAAGCTATACAATGGACTATTTGGGCTCTGTCTACCGTGGGGAAACAATCTCCGTATTTTAGCGTTGTTCACAAACTCACCAGGGGACACAAACTACTATAATTTCAAAGGTTGATCATTGCGTTCCCAACATTTAAATTTATTTTGAACTAATTCTGGTCTTCTACGTTACAGAATTATATTAAAATAAACAAAACATTCTGTTCGTCGTAAGACAACGATTTTCATAGTCGTCGATCCAAGAACGATATTGGGAAGGCAAAGTAGAAGATATAATTATTGAAAAAAATGTTTATTTGTTAGAAATTCAAACGCCTACATAAGTAATGATATTTCTGCACGTGCCTATAAGTTGATACCTACCTCTCTTTACATGATTACATGCGCAGAAGAGCACAAAAGCACACATGCATAATCATTTCTTAATCAGTAATAAAATTTGTACAGCAGACTCCACACTGGACTTTGAATTCGGACGTCATTCGCAGAAAGTACGTAATGTATAACATGCGATATTCAAAAGTTAACACAAATTATATTTGATATATTTGGGATCGACCCTCTTTAACTCCTTGTTTCTAGTATCCACCATGCATTTAAGCTGACTGCGACTTGTGATTTGTTTGGTTCTTAAGAAAAGCTGACAAAACAGATATAAATTAGATTTACTAATTCAAATTGTTTGAACTCGATCGTTATTCCTCGTAGTTAAACATTTAGCAGAGGGCGTTACGCTCTGTAAGTGTTGTGAGTATTGGTATTAATTAATTCGTTTGTCGCTGAAATTTGGGGGTTCGATTCTCACGACACACACAGCGTAGATAGCCCATTGTGTATCTTTGCGCAAACAAAGGGTTGGTTAATATTATTAGCACGAACAGTATACCGAAATTGTAGGAAATAAAAATGATAAAGAGAGATCTGCTGACATTTCCTTAATGGCAGGCAGTCTCGTATATAGGTTACGTTATAGAAATCAGAGTGTTAAGCAAGTTATTCGCTAAACTAGAACTGTATCTTTCTTACATCAGCGAAGCGACAATAAGATTATATACGTTGCTTACTTTACCTTCAACGCCCATATTAATTCGGCAACTCTCCAACGAGAATGCTAAGTAAAACCGTTGTGGTTTTGAACAACGAAAGTAATTAGTTAGTGACTGGAATATTTATAAAATAAAAGGCTGTATTTCGAATAACTGCAAGCAATTAGAAAAACTAGCTTTCTGAAACTAATTTTATATTTATAAAGTTAATCATGTTGTCTTTTCGATTATCACCTAACGCATTTTAAAACGTCTAGAGAAATCTAACTTCGACACATATTCGAGAACGAGAACGACCGTTGCTATGGTAACTCCTATCAGCCAAATCGCAAAAGTAGCGCGTAATTCGGTAAAGCTGAGGGTTTTTCCTTCAGTGTCACTGTAACGATCTTCACATTTCATCCAATCGGCCTTCACTTTCCAAATCCAATGTTCGATAAATCCTCCTTCTGTAAGTCGAGTTAATCTAGAGGAAATGTGAAAAAAATAAAAAATTATTATATTTCAACGCAGTTCATTTTAAATCAAAGATATCCATAAACAGTTACTGATCAGACATTTTCTTTTAAGCTGGTTTCTGCATTCAACCATACTTGATTAACTAAATTATACTTGTGATTACTTTAAGGCCTATTTATGCTCTTTAAACCTCGTGTGTCTGAAAAAAGTTGATTGGGCAGCTTTATTTGAAACAACAACAACAACAAACGTTTCAGTCATCATTTAAAATTATATATCATATTATGTTAGAGACAGGAAAGTAAAACCAGCAACGAGTTTTAAGTTAATCAACCTGTCACATTACACTGGAGTTGTTTCGCCAAGTTTCTAAAGAAAGGATAATCGTGACAAGAGAAATAAAGACTAACACAGTGTTAATTCTTTTTAAAAGTTGACGATGAGAATTCTTCTGAACGGCCATCGCTAAAGGATGTCTGTAGAAACGTTCACGACCAAGATAGAACTTCCCACCAGGTATCAGGTAACAAATCTGGGAAATAGCGTAAGTAGAAGACACCAAGTCTCCGAGAATAACCGAAGACTGCCGGACTGTGCTTTGAAAATTTGCCAAAGTATATACTTCGCTGGGGTCTACAAGTCCAAAGTGATTTTTTAACTGAGACCAGACCTTCTTCTGATGACCCACAAGAGACATCTGGATGATTGAAGAAAACGTGTTTCGATTATTCATCTGACGTGGAATTATTTACTTGTTACCGAGATCTTATTTTAATAATATTAAGATTAATTTTGTTGGAAATATATATTATTTATAAAACTGATCTATTCGTTAATGAGACCTTATTTTAACAGTAATATTACATTGGTTTAATGCAACCTATTATATTCAGTTTTCTTAACTCACAACTGCGCAATTGGTTATATGCATTATGTCCGTTGTGGGGTTCCAGCCCTAAATTCTAGCATTATAAGCCCACGAGTTTACCGCTGAGCCACCAGGTGACATACTTTTATTAGAAAACACCATTTATAATATTGGGCCTATTTTGAAAATTATCTCCAAATGCAACACAATCTTTATTTATTTTTGTCGCCCCCCAATGGAACAGCGGTATGTCCGCGGACTTATAACGCTAGAAACCGGGTTTCGATACCGGTAGTGGGCAGAGCACAGATAGCTCATTGTGTAGCTTTGTGCTTAATTTTAAAACAAACAAACAATTCTTTCTGTTTTTTATAGCTGCTTTTATATCAAATATCCCCGTCACACCAAACATGCTCGCCCTTTCAGCCGTGGGGGCGTTATAATGTGACGGTCAATCCCACTATTCGTTGGTAAAAGAGTAGCCCAAGAGTTGGCGGTGGGTGGTGATGATTAGCTGCCTTCTCTCTAGTCTTACACTGGTAAATTAGGGACGGCTAGCGCAGATAGCCCTCGTGTAGCTTTGCGCGAAATCCATAACAAACAGACAAACAAACCCTTTCAATACGATATCTGTTTAAGAAACAACATAAAACTGTGAAAAAAAAAGAGATACAATAACGAAATCTGTTTAATGGAAAATATGGTTGCGAAACACATATTATCATTCAAATAATTAATTCGTGACCTGAGTCTTGGTACTTATTTGCTTATTTGTTGACTATCTGAGCTATGCCCACCGCGGCTATCGAAATCCTATGTTTAGAGTTATAATCTCTCAGATGTACTGCTGAGCCACCAGGGACGTCTTGGTATTTAGATTCACTTCACCTGGTAGGATTGTTTTTCTATTTCATCAACAACAATAAAAAAGCTTTATATATTTCAAAGTTATTTGGATTTCATAAATATAATTTTGGTTTTATATTTAAATAGTTATTTCTGCAAATTATCGCACATGAGCTAATTACAACTAACTACTTCCAAATCACCAGTGAATTGGCGGATCAGTTTTTTGCTATTTTTACTTGGAAATTTAAACCATGCATATAATACCTTTGATTTCATGGTACGTTATTTAATGGCTCGGTGGTAAGTCTACAGACTTATTACGGTAAAAATCGGGTTTCGATACCCGTGGTGGAAAGAGCACTGATAGCCCATTGTGTAGCTTTGCACTTAACAACAACCAAAAACTTTTTACGGAGCGAAAACTAAATATTCCTAACATCAAAACTGCCTTCTTGGGTGATTTTCTTAAAATTCTGTATATATATATTTTTTAAAGAATAAAGTATTACAGAAAATGAATTGTGTACAAATTTTAGGTTGCCGGAAATTACCTGATGATGAACTGAATATACATATAGTCGTTTTTCTCTTACCCTTTCTGGCGGGAATCTGAATTGGAAGAGTAATTCTTCGTTATCTCGCTCGAGTAAATGGCTTAACCCAGAGAAAAACAGAAGAAAGAAAAACAACGTAGCGTGACAAAAATAGAGAACAAGAAACAATTATTAGAAACCAAAGTGAACAAGAAGAAATAAAATATAGGAACAAGGAAGAATTGAGTGGATAAGCTCAAGAAGGTGAATAAAACGAAGTAACACCAACAACAATAAACAGCTCAATTGAAATGATAAGGAGTACTCAGAGAGAAACGAACTTTTAAAGATTGACTTCAGAGAAGGAAGAACTTCGGAAATGAGTGATGTTGTAAACGACAAACAGTGAAAGAAGGAATATGCAGCTTCGGCGAGAAAAACAAATTAGAAACTAGAAATCGGAAGAAAGCGCAAGCATCCAAATAGGACGAAAGATGAACAAAAAACAAAAGTAAATACAATCATAAAAACACACACACACACACTAAAAACAAAATACTGATTAAACTGTTTAAGCCTGTTATTTGTTGTTGAGCAGAAATCTACATTGGGCTATCTGGACTATACCCACAACGGGCATCGAAACCCAGTTTTTAGCGTTATAAGACCTTAGACTTAGCGCCTAGCCTCCTAGAGAGAGGCAAAAAAAAAAAACCGTTATAAAATGGCGGGAAAGCGAAAGACGCGAATGATTTGAAAAAAAAAGTGTCTTGATTCAGTTGTGTTAAGTAATTAAAAAAGATTGGTCTCCAGCTTTCTTATGATTTAGGTGATTTAATAATAAAAAAAAAACCGCTTGAGAAACAAAACAAATAAGAAACAAAATGTCCAGCTGGTGCTCTATACTTTGCAAATAAAATTTTAGCAAATAATATCTTAAGGAGGAAAGAACCCTTAATACAGACAAAAACATTTAGTGTCACTTTACAAACATATGCACTAAATTTCAATAAATACAAATGCAGGAAAAGAAACATATTATAGTAATACGGGGTAGAAATAACTGTTGGAACGCTTAAGAACTTACGGATATTTTTTGTATTTTCTTCAACATTCTATGTAAGTTTCGACTACGCTCGTTATTTTTCGTGATTTCAACTAGCTCAAGTAGTTTCGGAACTATTAAGCTTTCGTAGAATCATTATTTCGTAACGAATTCGATAACAAAAACTGAAGTGTTCAGTTTGATAAGTCATAATGATGACCAGTAATGCAGCCCCTTATGTGGAATGCCATTTCGTAATAACTTGATTTATGTATAATATTCCTTCACAAATCGGATTCTACCCTTTTTTTCTTATCTATAATACATATAGAGTTGTGACGATTACTCGGATATCCGAATCCGATTCGATTTCCTTTCGGAAATCGATTTCAAAATGATAAGATCTGCACTTATTTCTGTTCAGAAATAGAAAGAATAATTTGTTTGAATGTAAAAGTTTATCGCTGAACACACACAAACAAATCTTTCAATGATTAAATATTTATTTATATTGAGCAATTATGATAATCCTTACGTATCACGTGACTTATGACAGGTTGGATTGCATTTACAACACTCAATCACCTAATACCACAGAAATTGACCCGCTGAATGAAAAAACAAATCCACGCATGCGTATTGTTTCTAGAAAAGGGTACGACATATTCACTACGTTGTTTCTGCTTCTTGGTTTTGACTTTTTCTATACTTTCATCATATTTTCTTATGTTTGATTCAAAATGGCGGACGACTATTCGATTCGATTCGCTTTTATCGATTTCAAAAATTCAAATTGTAGCAGCCTAAAATACGTAGGAATTATAAATATATTGATAGGTAAGAAGACGTAACACAGATAATGGTATCCATGGGATCCATTTCTGCCCATTCTGATAAATTCTTACTAACAAGTGACTCCCAAAGTTTTGTTGGCATTCCCTGTTAAGGATGAAAAGGGATCCAAACATTATAGTCATAATGGGTGCCCTTAGTGGAATGTTTGAACTCAAGAAACACATTCGTATAGATTTCAAATTATACAAAATGTATTTTAGTGAGCTAATTAGCGATTTATTTTTGGCAACTGCGAGATAAAATAGCAGAAATGTCAGTTATAATTCAGACTGATCGAGGGAAGCGGGGGGGGGGGATCCCAAAAGTTCATAACGACAAATGTGTGGAATACCATCTCCTCCTCCAATTTGAATTTTACAGTCTAATCATTAATAAAAAATATCGCCTTATAATCGGGCCAATACAGTATATTAAAAACATTTGGACTTAACATTTGGATTCCGCATTACTTGTAGGATTAGAGACAGACAAGTCTATACCTGTGTCAGAAACTTAATGCTGGTATCGCATTTGAAGTGTAATTCGCTAAGTATAACAAGATATGAAGAAGTTAGTAAGTACGATGAATTTTTTTGGTTATAACATAAATCTACCTGAAAATAATTAGAGTATGCACCTCCAGACCTCAGAACAGGGCGAATGTGTGGCTTATTAGAAAGATCATACAACGTGTTGATCCTTGGTGGCTCTTTATGAACTGCCATTGCTGCCTTAAGTTGACCGCCGAAAGCATGTATAAGGACTAGCACTGCCAGCCACCAGATGCCCATCACGAGGCGCCATGATAAATAGGTGCCTATAAAACCTGGTGCTGTGAGAAAAGAAAGACATGCAATTAATAAAAAAACTGGTTTAAAATCAGTTCACCATACTTGTATAACTTGTTATAGGAAGATATCATTTTTGTGTTCATGACTATATATAGATAATAAAACTTTTAAGTATATCTATATATGTTTGTAATTAAGCACACAGCTACATAATGGGCTATCTGTGCTCTGCCCACCACAGGTATCGAAACTCGGATTCTAGCATTGTAAGTCCGCAGATATACCGCTCTGCCACTGGGGGGGGGGGACGTAAAGGAAAGCAAAAAAAGATGAAAAGCAAAGTGTAATTAATTAGTCAGTTGAAAACATATTGGAATCATAACTTTAATTCCTCAACTATAATGATTTTATTCCATGCGAAAAGCAGTAGAATCACTAGCTTGGAATCCGCCAAACTTTTGTTTTGTATAACTGTTATTACACACGGCAAAAGTATCCGAACAAGAAATTTTACTGCATGTAACGTAGAAAAAAAGTATCCTTTTCCAAACGGACTTCTTTGTTGCATTCTGTGTTCTAAATACGCGATATTAATGTTAAAGCTATAAAAGTGGTGTTTTAAAATTCTTTATGAACCTTATCAAAAGCACTCTGAATATCAATCATATAAACATTTTTAATTTTATAAAGTATACTATATATTCACTAGGTGGCAGCACATGACAGTAAAGATTATCCTGGTGATTTTCTTGCATACTGTTTGACGAAAATGAATCAGATGAAACTTCTAGCAGAAGACTTCCTGCTCTCGTCCAGACTTTTAATAATTTTGAATCAAATACGAAAGAACTAGGATTGTATCAGACACAAGTAGAACTGGGATTGTGTTAGACACAAGTAGAACTGGGATTGTGTTAGACACAAGTAGAACTGGAATTGTATCAGACACAATTGAGATACAAACATTTCTGAAAACTATTTTGGCCGATGTGAAAGCTACAAAAACAACAACAACAACACACACACAAACTGAAGAAGTTACAAGATATATAAAAAGGTATAGCCAATCACAGAAAAAAAGTAAAATGCAATCTCAAATGTATCCTTATGCAACTACCAAAGGCTAAAGCTTGAAGGCCACCAGTTGAAAAAAACATACTAGGTATTCTTGAAGCACTTGGGGGCTTTTTCCACAACCTTTTCCATGCTAGCTAGTTGAAAGATGTGTTGCCTTATGGAGGTCTACAACAACAACAACAACAACGATTATTTTGGACCTTGACGCAGTAGCATTGGGCAAATTCTTCCAGACAGAACTCATCCTCCTAATGTTTCCATCAAACAGACTAAGGTTTTAAAACAATCGTGCAATCATTTAACACATATACATACAATTAGGTAATCAGACATTTTGTACAGCTGTTTCATGCCAATATTTTTAAAGACGAATTCTGCACACAAGCTTATATATATTACATGTATTTCTTCTGACAGCAGTGCTTGTCATCCAAAATCTGCTGGAGTTTATACGACCTCCATGGCTGGAAGTGTGAATTTGATTCATGGCCATACCTACTCAAGACTATTTGATCCAATTCACTTAAGCCACTGCTGGTTTTAATTATTAATTTCTGGCCATTTTTATATCAGAATTGTTAGAAGTTTCAAACACGGTTTTTTTTTGTCTTATGGAGCTTGACTCTGATGTCGTTATTTATTACTTTGAATAAAAAAAAAACTTTAATGTTAACTTGCTTTGTTTTCAATTAAATGACACAGCATTACACAGATAAATCACTGATGGACATGTTTATATATATGCATCTATGATAATTTTTATCTGAATGTTACGTTACACCCAGAAGGAGAGGAGAGAATATATGTGTGTACGTTACCAAAGCTTAACCACGGGAAGGAGAGGAGGAGGGGGTAAAAATGGGCTAAAAGTTATCTAATTTGGCTGAATTATAAACAGTTTGTGCTTTGAGCTTTAGTAAGACAGCATCCGTAACCACATATTAAAAACGTTTTCCGGCTCTCGAATCCTGTGGAAAAATAAGCACTATAGGCAATCTTATACTTATGTAGTTTTCTCACCTCAAATCAGAAGTAAGTTTACTCATATTGCTTTTGTTGCAAATAAAGCGGTAAATCCAGCTGTGACATTTTTTGTTAGGTATATAAATATCTCGGCTAGTCCAGGAATAAACGTTTTATAATATATTCTACGACTCTATAACATCAAGAGCAAATACTTTAAAATTGTAACAAATGTCTGAAATCCAGCTCTGAGGTACGCAAAAGGTTGAATACATTTAGCTATGCATCTATGTCATCTGGTGACAAGATGGAGCACCCTCATTTTGAATAGAACTAAATAAAGATGTTTGAATAATAATATTAAACTCTGCCATATATATAGGCTAAAGCGAACAATATATATATAACAACTTTCGATCAGAGTAGGCTATGTACTTAGAGTGAAACTAAAAAGCAAACTGGCTAATTAAATATATTTTTCTTGCGTTATCTACTTATAAAAATTAGAATGCATTGTTTCATCAGTTGGATACCCTCGCTGTTAACTATATTTTCGGCCGTAAACCCAATAATATCTCACGACGTTCAGCAGCTTAGGAGATTTATGTTAGTCCTAAATATAAATTTTAAGCTAACAATGCAAATCAGTCTTTATAATACAAGTTCAATAAATAAGGACAAATTAAACTAAAAAAACACGCAATTATGTGGATCAGAGCTAGCAGTTCTTGATACTACCGATTCACGCAGTTAGTCAGATTTCTAAAAAGCTTGATCCAGTAATTCGTCACAGACATATCTACAACACTACCACGCTTTATTAATGTATGCATGCGTTAACGTATGTATAATAATATATCTATACAAACAATTGAAGAAGACGTCCAGCAGCAGCTTCCTCCAAATTTTCATGAAACGTCCAAGTCTGAAATAAGCCGTGTTTTCTGGTCGACTGATAACGCTCTGAACCAATGATAAGGTGAACGTGAAAAGTAGAAACGACGAAATCATTCCACACCAAACCTGGAACAGAAAAAATAAAAAAAAATGTTTTCTTTCGTAACTCACACGAAAACTAACAACTAGAAGTGGTGCTAGTCGAACAACTTTACTTACTGTTTTGTACTATGTTGTACTTAGGAAACAAGAGGGATATGCTTTAAGTTACAACTGCCCAATGTCAAGTAGATATAAAAAAAAGTATTTTATATAATAGTTGTTCTTAATTGCTCCTCCAGTCGTATTTCATCATGTCTGAGTTATTACAGACGCTCGAAAATATATTTTTAAAGTTGTGCGTCTGTCTGGGTCATTGTTTGGTCGTGTTATGCCCCACCTGGGAGGGTCACGTGCTATTTAGACCTCTTCCTCTTCCTTTTAAAGTTGATTGGTTTGATTTGTTTTGAATTTCACGCAAAGCTACACGAGGGCCATCTGCGCTAGCCGTTCCTAATTTAGCAGTGATAGGCAGCTAGTCAACACCATCCACCGCCAAAGCTTGGGCTACTCTTTTACCAACGAATAGTGGGATTGACAGGTCACATAATAACGCCCTAATGTAGCTTTGCGCGAAATTCAAAAACAAAAAACAAACAAACCTATTATGGCCAGGGTTCAGGACTCACTTTGAGGCTCTGGAAACTTTCGGATATTCTCATGCTTTTCCTGATAGTAATTATCCTAATTTTGATGCATTTTTATTGGGAAAGATTGAAAAGATTGATTACGCCACTGTGCTGTAATTACAAAAGATATCTTTCCTAATGTTAAATTCCCAAAAGCAGCATCACAGAATTTTTATTTTAATAACACAGGATTTAAAAAAACAATATAGAACCAAATTTTTGATTTTTTAATATTCTAGGTCTTTAAAAACTATGAACGATTATAAACGCCAGTTTCTACCCTACCCACATTATAATATGTTCCTGATATATTAAGTAAAATAACTAATTTGAAAGAAATATGCCGACGTTAATCTAAAATCCCAAGTTAAGAAAACAAACTGAATATCCAGGAACTAGGTTGCCCCCCCCCCCCGGTGGCACAGTCGTATGTCTGCGGACTTACAACGCTAGAAACCGGGTTTCGATACCCGTGTTGGGCAGAGCACAGTTAGCCCATTGTGTAGCTTTGTGCTTAATTACAAACAAACAATCAGAAAATTTAGAATATATTCACACTTGGCAAACATATTAGTAAAGGGTGTTGAAAAAAATGTTTTACCTCTCAACAATCTTATATACATTGCGAACCGTGGTGTCTGTTTGAGCGTTCTTCTCTCACTCGTTTGAAAAGCTGTGCACGCACGCAAAGCTCAACATTCACTTTTGAAATGACGGGAGAACAAGCATGGATAATACTGATGCCAAATTTTATTTCGCAAATAGAACACTAAATTGTTAGGAATTAATCACACTATCGATCGCATTTCAAAACACGACGTAACTTAATGAATAAAAATATAGGTTTACCGTATGTTATTGTTGAGCGACTCTTGGCATGACTGAAATGTTCAACAATTACTTTTCGCGGTGGGCGGTATAAGTAGCTCAGGAGTTTGGCTCTGAGTGAAACCAAGAGTGCAAGACAATTAACCTTTTTAAACTCCATGAAAAAATGTAGATTGATAGATTAACTTAAACTTTTCCCGTCACTGGGGACGGGTACTTTTTCTTGTTCTAAATAAGACATGAGCGAAAGTCAACTTGGATTGTTTCAGTCTGCGTGTATTATTATTATACATATTTTTGTACCCAAACTTGTCAAACATGGACTCTATAGAAAATCCTTCTTTTATTACTGAATGTGTGTGTGCACAAAGTTTTGCTATTGGTAGTCTAAGGTTTTTAATAAAAAGGTAATTATGTTAAAAGTATTAAGAAAATACCTAATTTGAATTTTTAAATGCTTAAAAAAACTGTTATTGATCCTAACTTGTAAACTTACCTGCCAGTTAAAAGCAAGAATAAAAGAAAACATGTTAAACTGTGTTTGTCGCTGTCGTCCACCAATAATTCCAAGATAGTTGTCTGTTAACTGTTTCGTGTATTCGATTACTTGTGCTCTTTCTTCGGTGACAACGAAAGGACCAATAGCAAGATCTACTTCCTATAAAAAGAAATTAATAAAATAAAATACCCAAGAAGACTATGAAGCTAACTATATGAAATATCAAGATGACAATTCTCAACAAATATTATAAATGTCAGGATGACAATTCTCAACTAGTATTATAAATGTCAGGATGACAATTTTCAACAAGTATTATAAATGTCAGGATGATAATTCTCAGCAAATATTATAAATATCAGGATGACAATTTTCAACAAATATTATGAATATCATGATGACAATTTTCAACAAATATTTTGAATATCAGGATGACAATTTTCAACAAATATTATAAATATCAGGATGACAATTTTCAACAAATATTATGAATGTCAGGATGACAATTCTCAACAAATATTACGAATATTAGGATGACAATTTTCAACTAGTATTATAAAAGTCAGAATGACAATCTTCAACAAGTATTATAAATGTCAAGATGACAATTCTCAGCAAATATTATAAATGTCAGGATGACAATTTTCAACAAATATTATATATATCAGGATGACAATTTTCAACAAATATTATGAATATCAGGATGACAATTTTCAACAAATATTATGAATATCAGGATGACAATTTTCAACTAGTATTATAAAAATCAGAATGACAATCTTCAACAAATATTATAAATGTCAGGATGACAATTCTCAACAAATATTATGAATATCAGGATAACAATTTTCAACTAGTATTATAAATGAGAGGATGACAATTTTGATGCACATTATTTTTTAAGAACTCAATTTTTCGTCAGATCTAAATATTACTTTAGTCATCTTACTGTACTTACGTTTCTGTGCAACATTCCAATCATTCCATTCCAGGTTCCATCAGACAACTTCTTTCCCCACCCCCTCTCTGTAGGTTCTATAAAAGTGTGACTGGACATAACAGTAATACAAATAATAAGTATTAGTAGTTGAATGACTCTAAAATATTTAAAATAAGGCCAGTAATATTCGTGTAGGTTCTATAAAAGTGGGACTGGACATAACAGTAATACAAATAATAAGTATTAGTAGTTGAATGACTCTAAGAGATTTAAAATAAGGCCAGTAATACTCGTGTAGATTCTATAAAAGTGGGACTGGACATAACAGTAATACAAATAATAAGTATTAGTAGTTGAATGACTCTAAAAGATTTAAAATAAGGCCATTAATACTCGTGTAGGTTCTATAAAAGTGGGACTGGACATAACAGTAATACAAGTAATAAGTATTAGTAGTTGAATGACTCTAAAAGATTTAAAATAAGGCCAGTAATACTCGTGTAGGTTCTATAAAAGTGTGACTGGACATAACAGTAATACAAATAATAAGTATTAGTAGTTGAATGACTCTAAAAGATTTAAAATAAGGCCAGTAATACTCGTGTAGGTTCTATAAAAGTGTGACTGGACATAACAGTAATACAAATAGTAAGTATTCGTAGTTGAATGACTCTAAAAGATTTAAAATAAGGCCAGTAATACTCGTGAAGGTTCTATAAAAGTGTGACTGGACATAACAGTAATACAAATAATAAGTATTAGTAGTTGAATGACTCTAAAAGATTTAAAATAAGGCCAGTAATACTCGTGAAAAAGGTATTTAATTAAAAACTAAGATTTATTCAAGTTTACATTTATTTAAATAGTTTGTTTGTTGATTTTAGCGCAAAGCCACACAAAAGGCTACCTGCGCTCTGTATACTGCGGTACCCTTTAAAAAAAAACAAATATTGAATAGCAAAAAATACATGTACACTCGATTGATGGAAGGATTATATTTGGGCGTAGGCTTCAGTTACAACGATTAATATTTATTTTAATGTATATATTGAGGCAAATTGAAATATACCAAAAATCTAGCAAATATAGCTACTAATAGAAAAGTCATCACACTGTTGCTTTATTCTTCTTCAGGATCACTTCGTGAAATTCTTTCAAACTGCTGAGATTTCCAGCTACATCTTTCAACCAGCTTTTCATTACATTCATATAGAGCTTTGGGAAATTTTCTCATATTTCATTATTGTTAACTCGAAATAACCAACATAAAAAACAACAACTTTAGTTTAAAATTCTCAATACTTATTAATTGTTGCGATTTACAGAAAATACGCGGTGTAGTAGACATTACTGTTCGTTGTCACTAGATAATGATTTCCATGTATGCTTGTAATAAAAATACAATCGTTCTAGTGTCGAGGTCCCCTGGGGGGGGCAGTGGTAAGTTTATGGACTTACAATGTTAAAATTCAAGGTTCAATTCCCACTAAGAAAACAACAACTACTGTCGAGTTTTAAAAACTCGAGGTATGAAGTTATATTTTCAAAATGGTAGATCAACGTTAAAAGAACTTTTGAAGGAACTTCATATATACAGACACACACACACACACTCACAAAAATATACTGTTTTACGAAATATAACACCTGAACTTAATGGTTGTTGCCAAAGCCTCGAAAATGTTGGCCATCGGTCCGGATAACAGGACACTGTCATTTTTATCTTCTATAGCAATCCAAGGCAACCACTGTTTAGAAAAAGTTCAAAACCACATTGAAAGAAGGAGCTTTTTCACAAAAATGTGTGAAACATACTTTTTTATCTGTACAGGCTTCAATATTAAGTACATCTATTAGTGAGGAAGAATTTTAGGAGTAAAGGAAACACTGAGAAACTTGTAAGATAATTCAAAAATCAGATAAAACAGTTTATTACAAAACTTCGATATGCCTCTAAGGCTAATTCTAAGGCCTATGGATTTAAAAGTTGTGAAACAAAACGTTGACTCAAACCTTGTAAGGTTAGGTTTATTCCCTTTTGCTTTAGTTCAACTACAAATAAATTGTGTCTCTCTTTCAATTGCAAACGCAGTTTCAACGTATTAAAGAAGACAGTTTGTATGTTTTCACAGCTATTGCAGCTTTAATCAACGGCTTGTAAGCTGAGAAATGATATTAAATTTTGTAACGCTGACGATATGTGAAAGAATAAAGTTGATATCAGTTGCTGAAGCTCTATTAACTTTAGTAACGTCTCATCATTGCAGCTTTAATCAACGGCTTGTAAGCTGAGAAATGATATTAATTTCTGGAACGCTGATGATATGTGAAAGAATAAAGTTAATATCAGTTGCTGAAGCTCTATTAACTTTAGTAACGTCTCATCATTGCAGCTTTAATCAACGGCTTGTAAGCTGAGAAATGATAATAATTTTTGTAACGCTGACGATATGTGAAAGAATAAAGTTAATATCAGTTGCTGAAGCTCTATTAACTTTAGTAACGTCTCATCAATATCTGAACTAGCAGAATGTGCTAATTAAGCTTCTCTGAATTTTGTTTTAGTTAACGTAACTTATATTTACTCTGGATTTTTACCGTCAACATGATCCTAAATGAATAAGTAGTAATCTCACCTCCAAAGCGGTAACTTGCAATCTTAATGTGGTCGTGGAATTTGCAGGTGTTGATTTATGAATTATCATGTCAACACTCTATAATTCACATGCCTGAAATTTAATATAACGTGGGTCCTCTTTTTAAGAGAATGATATGTTGGATTGATCAATACTACCATCTAACGGAAAACGAGATTGGTTATTTGCTAGAGATACGGGTCCAATGAGCGCGCTGTAACAAACAAATACAAATATTTGCTACTTGCGTATGAATTTCGTCTGAGTGAGAAAAAAATCTTATAAGAGCTGCTTTTGGTTTGCTGTTCTTCGCGACAAGGAGTATCTGTGCTAGCCGTCCTTACTTTAGCAGTGATAGACTAGAGAAAAGGCAACTAGTCAACACCACCCACCATCAACGCTTGGACTTCTCTTATCAGACCTAATAGTGGAATTTGATCATCACTCTTATAATTCTCCCTCGACCACAAAATTCGGTGCGTAATTTTTTTTGATGGTAACGGGACGCGAACCACGGATACTTGGTTTCTCAGTCCGGCATGCTAGACCCTCCAGTTTTTACATGGACGTTATAGAGACTTTAGTGATAATCGAAGGCTATTTTTTGAATCCTTGTGGAAATAACAATATCAGAACTGTTGTTTTGAAGGCATGCTGCATAACGCTAGCATTACTTAGTAAAATATGTTAGGAGTAAAATTTCAAAATGCCGTGTTTTAGCGCAATTAAAATAAACTCCTTATTAATTGTTTTAACCAACAAGTTTCAGTAATATAGTTACCATCATCAGGGCTTCGGAATATTTTATTCATTATCAGTAAGACGTCAATTTATGTTCACCATTAACAACTGTTATACAAAAGTGTGATTGAGAAAAAAACAAAAACAAAGTGAAGGCAAAGTAAATATATAATATTCAAGAACAAAGATTCATTAACTTTGGATACCTATGAATTATTACATGTAATTATCGCAGTTGTGTGACCATTGGAGATATACAGCTTACTGGTTAGTTGAATCGCTCAGCCAATGACAAAACTGATACACCGTTCAAATCGCCACTTAATTCGAGTAATCGTTTCTAATCCACAAAACCAAAACCAAAATCGTGAAATACGGTTTACTTTAATAAACAAACACATTAGTTTCTTCTAAGACATCATTCTAATCTCTATTAAAAATGCTTAAATCAATTAACTTTCAACACGTGAATTAATTAAAGCTCGTCCTGAATAATGTTATGTCTTTACCTATGACAGCCACACATCTTACAGAACTGAGTAAAAGAATTCGAGTGCGATCACTTGTTTTATACGTAAGATACACTGGAAATCCGATTTTTGGTTTGAATTTTGCGCAAAGCTAAACGAAAGCTATCTGCGCTAGGCGTCCCTAATTTAACAGTGAAAGACTAGAGGGAAGGCAGCTAGTCATTACCACTCTTGAGCTACTCTTTTACCAACGAATAGTGGGATTAACTGCAACATTATAACGCTCACACGGCAGAAAGGACGAGCATGTTTGGTGGGACGGGGATTCGAACCAGCGACCCTCAGATTGCGAGTCGAGCGCCCTAACCACCTCGCCATGAAAGGGCGAGCATGTTTGGTGTGACGGGGATTCGAACCTGCGACCCCCAGATTGCGAGTCGGGTCTGGAAATCCGAACAGCAATTATCGAGATCAATTGGAATGTTGACGTCAATTCTGCTTGATGTTTGAGTGTGATTCACTGTATCCGGAATCTTATTACCAATAAAGTTATAGAATCACAAACACTATGGTACATCAACAGTTTAGAAACAATGTGTTTAAAAATACTATGGGATCCATTTGGATCCATCGGGATTTCTAGAGCTAGAAACTGGTTTAATCGATTATGATTTAAAACATTTTGATAACACTGGAACATTTTAAAAGAAGGCTTAAGTTGAGGTGGGAGCGCAATGTAATTCCTCTAAAAGCTTTGACAGGAATCCAGGAACTTGTTCAGATGTTTGTTTGAGATCGTTTTGATCTGTTACCATTGTAACGCTTTATATTGACGATGATCTATCATAGTAACAATTAACATTAATGAAGACCTATGACTGTAACGTTTTACAGTAATGAAGGCATATCATTGTAACCTTTTACACTGATGAAGGTCTGTCATTGTAACTGTTTGCATTGTAACGTTTTACATTTATGAAGGTCTATCATGGTAACGTTTTATATTTATGACGTTACAATGACCTTCATCAATGTAAAACGTTACAATGACCTTCATCAATGTAAAACGTTACCACGATAGATCACCATCAATGTAAAACGTTACCATGTTAGATCATCATCAATGTAAAACGTTACCATAATAGATCATCATAAATATAAAACGTTACCATGATAGACCTTCATCAATGTAAAACGTTACCATGATAAACCTTTATCAATGTAAAACGTTACCATGATAGATCATCATCAATGTAAAACGTTACCATGT